GCCCAGCTCCGGGCTCCACCACGTGGGCGGCTGCTGGGAGCGGCCAAAGCGCGTGCACCGGTGCGGGCCTCGGGGGCCCCCGGAGGCTAGGGGGTGTGTCCGAGGGGCCCCAGAAAGAAGGGGTCGGGGGCTGCGGCCCGGATGGGTCTCCTGGCTGGGGTCGGGACCCCGAAACGCGCCGCGCGCACGCACGATCGGTAGTCACTGCGGAAACCCACCCGCACCTGCCTCGGGTCCTCCCGGGCACCTCCCTCTTGCTGCCTCTGCTATGTGACTAGACACCAGCACCAACCCAAGTCTCCTCTGTGGTTTTCTTGAATGTGCCCACGGAGAGCTTTCCCCGAAGCGAGACTGCCCTAGGACTGCCATCTAACGAATACGTGCTGCGGAGACCAGGTCCTTGACGGGGGAGACAGCCCAGTAATGGCTGGAGAAAGGAGTTTGAAATACGTGGACTTGAAAAAATAGTGAGTGGACCACGTGTCGCCTTTAATGTGGTCAGGTTTCATGACTCAGGCTAATCGATGTCAATAATAAATAAAAAAAGATGGCTAATACAGGAGTGGTGAATGCCTAGATCGAGTAGAAGCGTTTGTCTCATAAACAGCCAGACTGTCTGGAAGGCAGGGATCTGTTCTAAGGAAAAGATAGGTTTCTGTTTTTACTCCCTAATTGTAAAAGATTTCCGAGTTACGTTGTGCATCCCATCGTTTATAAATAATTTTTCAAATCAAGACCTGAAAACAAGTCAAAAGCCATCATAATGGAAACCTAGCCTTTTCCCCTACATTTATTCCCTAGATCATTTTTCTCCTTAGAAATTTTTAGCTCAATTCAGTGAGTCAGTTGTATAGAAGGGAAATAAATCTTTTTTTTACTTAAGAGAGTTCTTCATATGGGATTGTTTTTGCATGACTGAAACTCAGCTTAATTTTTAAATAAAACGTTCCAGTTTTAGATGTTTTGGACATTAACACAGGAAGAAATGTATTAGAATCTTTAAAATGAAACAAGTTTAGCATGTATCGTTTATAAGTTAAGCACACCTGTGAATAATTAAAATTCAGCCTACCAATTTTTAAATATTTCTTCAGACAGTTCCCTGCATGAGGTTGGTCTTGATGCCTAGATACATTCCTTGGTTAAGTGTAAAGGAAAATCAATTTTATATTTTCTTTATATTTGGTGTTTAGAATTTTTAAATACATGTGAATTTCGACAGAAGTTTGGAGCTGACTTTTAAAAGACTAATGCTAACATAAAACTCTTTAAATACTACACGATATACTTTTATTATTTATATATTATATTTTTGTTATTATATATTACTAATATATTAATATTTATATGTCAGTGATAAAAACTCCCATTCAGTTGTCCCTGAGGATGACATACACAAAATAAGGAATAAATGCTCAGTTTAAATTGTAGTTTTTTTATCTAAATAATTTTCCATTTGTGAATTTTTTAAATGTCTGTTTTCCTAAAGTAGTAGAAAGTCAGTAAGATCAAGCTACTTTAGACAGTGAAATTACGTGATTATTGTTATGTAGCTTAATATCTAGAAAAAAATAATCAAAATGTAGGTTGCCTTTAAGCTTTAACTTGATCACACAGACAAAGAAGGCGATTTTTATTTTCTTCAATGATTACATTCTACATACTGATATCAAACTTACTTTTTTCATCTTGGAAATAAAATCATGTAGTAAAACATTAATTGGAGTCCACTTGCCAATCACACTGACGATGAATGCATCACACTTTTTTGTTTTTATGCAATTTTCACCGGGTAGCTTATAAACGTCCCTTCTTTGGGAGCAGAAACTGGTCGCTTCTTTTCATTTTAAAAAAACTTTATTTGAAAACAGCTTTATCTCAAATTATTCTGCTAAATGTACCAGACTCCCCCCAAATGTAATATATACCGTGTGAAAATGAGAAATAGCACAACTGGCAATTAACAAGTAGTAGCAGGAGCACAAAATGTTGCGATCTAGTCCCAGAAAGGAACGTTACTCAGCGGCAAAAATGAATAAACTAGCGCTACACACAGTATGGGCAGATCTTTGAAACACAATGTTAAGTGTAAAAAAAAAAACCAAAAAACGCATGTTCTGAAAAACTACACAAACGACACCATTTTGATGAGGCTCTTAAAAGCGGGGACAAAAAAAATGTGGCAAATTTTTTTAAAGCGAGAGATTGAAATACATGGTAAAATACATTTTTTTGTTCTACCAAAAGGATTAATAAAGCACATGAAACCAAAGATCCTGGGTACCTCTGGGAGCGGGCGGGGAGAAGCCCATAGGCATATGCAATGTTCTCAGAAATATGTTCATTCTCAGACCAGCTGGAAGATTCATGGGTTTCAGGTTTCCATTCTATAGTTATGCTTTATAACTAACGCATATGCTATTTACATATATGTATATATAGGCATAAAAATATTAAAGAAGATAAAAGAAAAATATGGGGGCGATCCACAAGAGAGATCATCCTAGTTTCCAGTATGATTCTTCCAGATTCCAAGCTGTTTATATAAGCAATTCACGAGCATTAAAGAATCATCGCAATGATTTAGTTAATCATAGTCTCATCCTTTGGGATACATTTCAGAAGACCGTGTACTCATATCGATGCAATTCAAGACAAAAACAAATCATGAAACAAACAAACAAAAAGAACGTGAAAGAATTCACTTCATAGGTAATCAGGATCATTAATTACGAGTGCATTATGTCAACCATCTGGCAGTTTCCTATAAGGCGAAACATACACCTAACTCATGATCCAGCAATTCTAACCTTTGCAGTTTAACCAAAAGAAATGAAAATTTGTCCACAAAAAGACTCGTATGGGAATGTCGGTAGTTGTTTTATTTATAACAGCAAAAAAACTGGAAACGACCCAAACACATCAAAAGGAGAATGGATAAATAAACCGCGATAGATCAATTCCACACGATACTGCTTAATAATAAAAAGCAATGAGC